TTATCTAACACAAATAACAGGGCTTATTCAAATTAAGATAACACTGGGCCAGTCATAAGATAAAAAATGAAATAATACTGTGGCAGAAGGCCCAAACCCTGAGAGGATGCAGTGACAGAGTCTGCCATGGTACACTCTGGGCCGTCTGCAAACAGGTTAGGCTCCCTTAGCAAGCGTTTTACAGGGATTTTAAAAGGTGCCTTGTTGAAACATGATCTTTTCTCTGTAGATACTTCAGCATTAGTGAATTTTATGGGGCAAAAAGATGAGAGTTTAACCACTGGGGAGATTTGTCAGTTTTAATTAAACAATTGGATCCTTTAAATCTTCGTGTTAAAATCAGTGACGGCTGGTATTTGGGCATTCACGTCTGTACTCTTATTTTTGATCTCCGTAGTAAAGATGAGAGTAGTATGCTGTGTAAGTATGAAATGCGGACCCATGCTCTGTACTCATTGGTGTATCTTGAGATCTAACTAAAGATATCTGTTATGAAAATAAAATTTGTATAGAAAAAATTTCCCTCTACCCCACCCCACTAAGCAAAAGTTCTAGTTTTTATTCCCAGGATTATCATTAAATTGCTTGAAATCATCCTATCTTTTTGAGACCGGATTCTATGGATTCGGTCTTTCCTCATCCTTCTAAAAATTTCCTGTAAAAATGTAATTTCTTCTTAAGAGTGCATGACTTTATCAATAACTGGGCTTCTTTTTTTTTTTTTAATTTTTAAATCAAGCATATGGATCTTGAAGGGCTCTTCCAAATTAAACTCTTTTAGCTCCTAGAGTTTTCTTTGGTATTTAGGAACAATTCTTTGCTGTAGTTCTTGTGCAGCATTTATAACTTCTCTTTTATAAAAGTAATTTCTTTCTGGGAAGGTCACCAAAGCAGTATGCTCCCGAGCTTCCTCTTGGTCCTGTCTGACTACTGAATTCAGATGACTTCTAGGAATAATAGCAAAATAAGTAAATATCTACTACTTGGGATCTTATTATATGTGACTTGACATTTTCTGATCTTCACAGCAAATTTCAGTATTCAGGTACTAGTGCTGCCACTTTACAAATGGAGAAGTCAGGGCTCAGGAAAGATGAACAGAATGCCAGTTCACACTGGTGAAGTGAATCCGTACCTGTCTGGCTCTAAAGCCTGCACTAATTGTGCAAGTCCAGCTCGGAGGAAGGCCATCAACTCTTTTGAAATTGCCCTTCAGAGTTGTTTATGAGTTGGTCGTGCTCTGACCTTGTATGATTTTTGTTGTTTTGTTTTCTGTTATATTTATTTCTTGGTAGGAATCCAGAAAGGCGAATTACTGGGTTTAATTACTGATGTCGCTAGTGAGATCACATTGCTCATGTGAATTTGAAGGTACTGATTTGTAGGACCATCTTCCAGCTGAAAATTTCCTAAGCAGCCTTCTTTTGCTTGTGTGTTCTTAACAATTTATGTGGCTCCTAAGTCTCCTCCATTTGTAATTGCTGGCACAGGGCTTCCATTTGTAAACTGTTACAGTTTAACTGATCACTCCCAACACCCTTTCTAACTTTTTATTTATGAAGTCTGAGTACCTTGGATTCTCTTGCGAGTGTTGGTGATGTCAGGTCTAGAATATACTCTTAAGACTGTCTGTAGGTTGTTTATCACCATTAGCCCTCATTATTTTAAATGAGTACCCACCCACCTTATACTCTGTAACCACATGTTTCCAGAGCTTCTCTGGAGATAATATCTTGTAGCATACCACCCCCCACAACACATACGTATTTTTTAGTTTATTCATAAATGTGTTGTAATTGAAGCCCAGAAGGTATGAAGGGAAACAGCTACAGAGAGATAACCTCTTGAGTGTATGAAATGTAGAAAATTTGGGAAATAAGTATTGCTGCAGTTTTGAAACAAAATCTGAATGTTTAACATGTATTGGTTTGTAAATATGGAATCCCACTAATTGCATTTAGAGTTCACAGCAAAACTACCTGTTATGTCTTGTTTCTCTGAGGAGAAAAAAATGAGAGTTATATATATGTGTAAGTGTGTTTTTAAAAATTGGAATGCAGAGAATAGTGTGGTGTAAATTGTCTCTAATTATGTGTCTTTTTCTAGTGAGGCAATTAATCAGTTCTCCCTAGACCTTTTCCCTTATGAAGCAGTTAATCAGTTTTTCTGTTGCTGTGATGCCTGAACTGAAGTGTGCCAAGCTTAGAGGAAACTACATGGAGTGCCTCATTTTGTAAAGCAATAAATTATTGGTGGATTTTTTTTCTCCCTCCTTTATTGGAATGACTAAAAAGCACCAATATTGTGTGATATTTTGCAGAATCATTGTTTGCTCATATCAGATTATTGCTTTGCCTTTCAATATAATTAAAAGTTTTGTTGTATACTTACGAATGATTTTATTGGTGAAGGCCAAGTGTGTTTCCAGCAGGAGTGACTCAGTAGTTTTATAAAGGAAAACTAATAGTCTCTACATTTTGCATTATAATAAATTGTTCAGAAACATTCCATAAAATGAACTTCATATATTTCATCAGAAAGGGTGTGCCCTTTTGTGAAAAAAACTTCAGAAAAAGGTGAATCATAGAAGAATGTAATGTCAGGCCAGAAAGCCCAACTAACCCACCAGCTCAGTTCCTTCATTTTACAGATGAGCAACTGAGGCCCAGGAACCCACTGTGTTCAGTGGTATGAGCTGCCCTGCTTTTTCTGATCCCTATTTTTGCTATTTCTCAAGTATCTTGCCCAAGTACTTATGATAAATAAAGAAATCCTTCTTCCCTTCCCTAGATGTTGCTGGCTAAAATAATATTGGGGCCTGTTATTTAAAAATAACAAATCCTGCTGGGTGCAGTGGCACATGTCTACAATCCCAGCAGCTCCAGGGGCTGAGGTAGGAAGATCCCAAGTTCAACTTGGGATCAGCTTCAGCAACTTAGTGAGGCCCTAAGCAACTTAGCAAGACCTTGTCTCAAAATAAAAAATATAAAGGGCTGGGGATGTGGCTCAGTGGTTAAGAACTCCTGGGCTCAATCCCTGATACCAAAACAAAGAAAAACCTGGAGGAGCATATTAATTTTTTTTCCCTTTAAGTTATTTGAAGAACTTGAGTTGTTTTTCAGGATATAAAATTTTGGAATGCTTGTGGATCTGTGTGGTCATAAGATTTATATAAAGGGAAGTTTTTTGCTCAGAGAAATTTTATGAACTTGGGTTCCTTAATTGGTGAAAATAAATGGCCAGGTTTCCTTCTTTTCTTTCTTTCTTTCCTTTTTCTCATCTGTCAAGCAAAAAGTACACTCCTGAGATTCATTGATGATTATGCCAAGCTCTTGGGGACACTATTCCTCCTGATTTTTTTTTTTTTTTTTGGTACTAGGGTTTGAACTCAGGACTTTGTATGCATTCTACCACTGAACACGCATTTGCTTTTTATCTTGACTACCCCAGAAGAGAATCATAGGATTAAAAAAATAAATAAGTAAAGGCCCTTAGTTTGCAGTTAAGATCATGGTCTCTGGAGTTCTTATTTCCTGTTATATCACTTGTTGAATGGCCGTGGGGAGGTTATTTTACTGCAGTGAGCCTCAGTTTCCCCATTGGTAAAGTGAGTTTTTTTTGTGCAGTCTTATCTTGGAGGATTTGCTCCATGTTACTGCCTGCTGCTCCTGCTGATTTCGTTCCTGTTATTACCAAGCGAAGAAGTTTTCCAGACCTGCTTTGGGAAGGGATATAAGAAGAGAAACCACATTCTACTTCTAAATTACTCATCTGTTGAAGTACTGAAGCTTTTTCCTTCTCAAAAAGATTTTACCTGCTAGGCACGGTGGCACACGCCTGAAATCCCAGCAGCTCAGGAGGCTGATCGCAGGAGGATCACAAGTTCGGAGCCAGCCTCAGCAACTTAGTGAGACCTTGTCTCAAAATAAAATATAAAAAAATGGGTTGGGGATATGGTTAAGTGCCACTGGGTTCAATCCCAGGTACAAAAAGGAAGAAAGAAAAGAGAGGAGAATGATTTTACCTGACCGAATTGATGAAAATAAATGTGTGACTGTTGTTAGCTGACTTCTGCCTCCTTTTATCAGTTCATATAATCTAGTAATGGAAACATTGTAGGTGTGAACTTTCATGGTGATTTATGCAAAATAATATTGGGGCCTGAGGGCTCAGCCACAGGACGGACCCCAAATAAGATACAGCAGAAGCCAAAGAAGGCTGCTCAGCTGACCCAGTACATTCTGGGATCTTCCCTTTTGAGACTCCTTTAACCTGTCTTTCATAGTCTTGATAGGAAGTGGCATATGCAAGAGAAAGTCAATTCAAAAGCAGCTGCCAGGGAGGAGAGGGATGGTTAATAAAATATGTTTTGGCTGTTTGAACTAGTTAATTGTTAAGTTATATTGTTGAGTGAGTTCCCTCCTTTCTGCTGACACTCAGAGGGAAAACTGGAAATGGACTGCATACCTATCATGTATGCACTTGTCTTTAGCCTGCATCTGTTCATAGGCTAAAAATGAAATGTACTTACAACTCTTACCTGGAGGTCTTTTATAGGTTTTAAAGAAAATGTAACTGGGTGACAGCTAGGATGTGCTTTTTTATCTTTGACACACAGTAAACCCAGCAGCTACCCAAGACTGAAAATCTATTAGATCAAGTCCTACAGTATCTATTTGCTTATTTTGATTAGGTTCAATACTTTGATACAGCTACACTGACTCACTAATAGTCTGAGACATTTTTTTCTAAGGACATTTGAAGAGGGAAATTCCAGTATCTGGGCATTTTTCTAAATTATAATTTAGACATAAATTATAATAAAAGACTTTCTGGTTTTTTTTTCTGAGCTTTGCATTCTAAAGCCAAATTATGACCATTCCTCTTCTATGCCCCTCCCCTTTTTCTTCTTTACAAAATTTCAGCATGGAATTAGTTTTCTATCGGGTTAAATTATTTAACTACTTAGTTAACAATATTCTTAACTTTATGTTTTTCAGGGATATCAGTATGAACAACATCACACAATTACCAGAAGATGCATTTAAGAACTTTCCTTTTCTAGAAGAGCTGTAAGTATTACTTTGAGAAATGTTTGTGAATATTTTCACCACTATTCTCTTTGGGAGCTTTCACTGCAGAGATACTAAGATTTCCTGTTGGGAACATTCACAAGCTTAGTTTCAGTGGGCTTTTTTTTTGCAAAGGAAATCATATTTTTCTAGGGGGAAACAAACTTGATTTTTAAAAAGCAGTATAATTACTGAAGTTATTTTTAAAAGCCAGAACCAAAAACTGCTATTTCTATAGGACCTTTTTGGCTACAATTATTATAACCACGAGTGCTGCAGTGACACAAGTTAATTATAGTGTTATCCTGAGATAACAAGGCTGCTGCATAATTACCATTGCTGCCAAAGGCATTGCTGTATGGGTAACAGAACCATAAAAAATAACAAAAGGTGTTTCAGGGTCATGATGCAACAGACAGCTCTGACAGCATGCGAACAGAGAGCAGGAAACTGATTATAGAGCCCCTTGGTCATTTGCAGGTGACCTTTGGGGATGGGGTTGAAGGCATGGGACATTGGCCAGCTCCCTGGGAATACCTTTAAGTAGGTTTTTGAACTTGTCAGTTGCACTTCACATTTTTGATTAACAGTTTTCATTATGGAAAAAAAATTTGGCTTGTTCTAATCTCCATTTTGTTGCTTTCTGAACATGTTTTTGAAGTCAATAATCAAAAGACACACTTCTGATTTTCAAAAAAGTTGGAAAGTTTGTATTAGACTTTAAGAATCCTGGTGAAAAAACAAAATCAGACTTGGATCAAATTAATTAGGTTTTAGAGACCAAGTTAATGGAGGTAGTAAGTTGACAGTTTGGTACTAAGAACATCAGAAAGATGTAGCTCTGAAGGAATCTAAATTCATATTCAGATTGCATCATACAGTCCGGCTATTGAGTATTAGATCCAAGTTAGTGAATGTCTCCTGTCTTATCTTGGCTTCTCCCTTAGAACTGAGAATAGGAACCAAATAAGATACATAGATTGTACTCCCTGTTTCTCGCAGAGTATTGAAATAGCAGTTAAGGATTTTAAAAAGTTAAGGAGAATTTTTTCTTCCCACACTACTTAGTTGAACGTAATGCTTCCATAGGAAAAATTGGAACAGAGATTATTTGTCACAGGTTTGTGATCTGGGTCAAATTACTTAGCCTGTCTCTGCAGAGTTTCTTTGTTTATAAAGTGTGGATGATAATAATAATCCCTCCCTTATAGTATTCTGGTAAAGACAGAATGAATTAATGTATGTTAATTGTTTAGGACAGTACATGATACAGAATGTTGTGTAAATGCTAGCTAATATTTATTTTATCATTTTAGAAATGCATTAAGAAAAACAGTGGAATATATATGAAATGCCATCTTTGGGCAATAAAATTAGGTGTATTTTGTATTTTTGCCTTCTATAGTGAACATTAATTGCTTTGTAATAATGTTATTCTTGGTTAAATTTTTGAATAAAGTTAAAAAGGAGTGACCTGTCATTTGAAGCCTCCACTTTCACCCCCTAATCAAGCTTTATGATGCTTTCTCTCTTCCATTCTATTTCACATGTATTTTTAGGCTTTAAGATTAGTCTCTTTTTACAGAAGTAATTATGTAGTGAAAGGGCACTAACAATTGGTTATTCAGCCATTGTACAACCTCTGTGGGATGTGTGATGGACCAGACAGGGAATAGAGAAGTTCCTCTTGTTCTGGATGGGGTTCACTGTGTGCAGACCACCTTTGTTGATACCTTTGATTGCCAGTTATCCTTTAAGGGATTTGCAGTGGGGACTTGGATATGGAGTCAGACCTGGCTAATCTCTGCATTGTGAAGTTCACATCTTGGATTTCATAAGATCTCAAATGACCAAGCATATGTCAACCTCATGAATTCTGTCAACCGAGACTTTTAATTGGAACCAAATTGAGTTGGATTACTAGTTCTTTGTAGTTAGGTCATGTTCTCTCTCTATCCTATCACAGTAACAAAGTCCATTAAGCCAAGTTGGTACACCTTCTCCAAATATGGTATTGAATTTCCAAAATAAATTTAGTTAGGAAAGCTGAGTAATATTTTTCAAAAATCCAAAATAATTTTTAATACTCTGGCAAAACTTTAGGCATTCAAAAGAATTTATTTTCCATATTAATATACACATGGTAGAAGTCTGTTTTTATTCTTTATAAAACAGTGTAGTTGATTTTGACTTTCCCAGATGATGCTGCTATGACTATTGTAAAATTTCATAAACAGCATAATCATTTCATCCAGAAGTCATCTGGAAGTCATTTAAGAGTGATTGTGAAGATGAATGCCCTGAAAAATGAGTGATTTGCTGAGGGCTTTTTTTCCATGTTAGTTAATGAAGTGTTTTTTTTATAAAATGTGACTGAGTTTGGCCAAATTGGATATAGGGACCTAGAATGCTTGGTGTTTGGGATGGAATCACTTCTATCAGTATATAAGATGTGTGTGTGTGTGTGTGTATGTGTGTGTGTGTGTGTGTGTGTGGTGTGTGTATACACACACACACTTTTAATAAACAGTGAATCCTACTTTCTGGCAGGTCTTGTGATAGGACTATGCTTGTGTCTGTATCCATGATACCTATCTGAAGAGTTGACAGCCTTCCTAGAGTGGCATTGTCCAATACCATGGCCACTGGCTACAGATCACTATTCAAGTTTAGGTTTAGGATAATTAAGATCAAATAAAATTATACTTCTACCAAGCTGGGTATGTTGGTACATGCCTGTAATCCCAGCAACTGGAGAGGCTAGGGCAGGAGAATCACAAATTCAAAGCCAACCTCAAGGCCTTAAGAGCAGTTTAGTGAGCTCTTAAGTAACTTAGTGAGACCCTATCTCAAAAATACAAAAAAATTAAAAAGGTCCGGGAGGTAGCTCAATGGTAAAAGGTCCCTAGGTTAAATCTCTAGTTTAAAACACACATACACATACACACACACACACACACACACACACACACACACACACACACACACACAGTATGGTAGTTGAACCAGCCACATTTTTACAAGGTTTTGTTTTCTGTTTTTTGTTTGTTTGTTTTATTTTTTTGGTTCTGAGAATGTAACCTAGGGCCTTGCTTGTTCTAGGCAAGCATTCTACTCATAAGCCACATTCCCCAGCCTCAAACTAGCCACATTTCAAGTGGACAATAGCAACCTGTGGTTAGTGGCTACTATATTAGCACAGATACAGATAATTTCCATCATGGCAGAAAGTTTTATTGGATAACCTTGATCTAATGTTAAGGGCAAGATGACACTAACACTTTGTGCATCATGGTGAGGAGGTGTTGCAGGGCAAGCAGAAGCCTAAAGCACTATGTTTACTTGAGACTGTAGGATTTGGGAAAGCCTTCCCAGAATAGCTTCCGCTGAGTCTTGCAGACACATAGGAATTAGCCAGATGAGTGTGGTGGTAAGGCTGCCCTGGGAAGAGCTCTAGCATGTGCTAAGGCATGGAGGTAGAAGTATAAGGACATATTAAGTGGCTTGTTAGAGCAGGACTGACAGGCAAATCTAGAGAAGTGTCAGGAGACGAGGCAGATCATGAAGGAGCTGAAAAGTTTAAAACTCTAACCTGAAGGAATTTAATTTGATAGGATGAGACTAGAATTTTTGCCTTGAATGACCGTATGCCATTTGATGAGACTGGGAACACAGAGAGCCAATCTGTTTGGAGCCCAAAGAATTCAATTTTATGAACACATAGTGGTTAGTAGTAAGCGTATAGAGCTTTAGTACACGGAAGTCCTTTTTCACAACCATGAGGAAAGTTGCTTTTGCAAAGATAGAGATGAACTGTTTTAAGTTCATATGCCTGATATTTCATTTTGCTGGAACAATGCTCTGAGAGAAGTGCATTTATTTTTAGAGATGTGTATTTATTCTTAGGGAAATATTTCATCCAACTTTTTCAATGTATATGATATGTATTAGATAATATTGTTGTCAGTTTTATTTTCACATTTATTTTTGAAAGTTTTGTAGCTCACAAATATTACCCAGTGATCCTCCCCCTCACCCTGCCTTTTCTCCCTGGGAATATAAAAACAATAGATTCTGGCTGTCAATGCAATATATGCAAAGTTCTAAAGTCTTGGGAAAGTCTCTGGATTTTTGCACCTCATTTCACTAGTTTTTATAATGAGTCTTCTCACAGGACTACTTTAAAGAAGGTATGGAATGATATATATAAAAATACTTTGTGACCTTAAAAATTTTCATGTGAGGGAAGGGAACTTTCACTAATTATTACCGACATGGCTATCTTTCTTCTTCTTGAAACATTTGGAGGAGAGGTGGTTTTGCCTCAGGGTAGGGATTGGAGTAGGTCAATATAGGTATCTCTTATGGTAATGTGAAAGGAAAGCCAGGATTTTTTGGGAGATATTCATTTTGCACTGGCAAAAATGTGTTGCATGATATGCTTTGACCACAAGTGTTTTGGTCTCTCCTTTAGACTTTTAAGGGCTTTGGGACCCATTTAAAGGGGCATGGCTGAAATATAGTTGTAAAAGTGATTTAGTTAGAAACAGAGGAAAGAATACAAACCAATTTTCCCTGGGCTGTCCTGAAAAGCCCTGTAGATACTACTGGGATGTGGTAATAGCAGTAGAAACCATCGTCAGTTTGGCACTCGGTCAGTTATTGTTTAATACACTCTATGACTGGGATAATTCCATTTGTTTCAAAACATAATTTGACTTTGGAAGACTTAACAATGCTGAAGTGAAACTTGGGTCTCTGAGCACAGAGTCAAGATTACTTTTCATTTTGGATCATCTTCAGGACAGTTCCAAGCAGTTCAAAAGGGAGCTGGTAAATAATTTGAACATGGAGGTCGATTTTTGTTTTTGTGATATTGGAGATTGAACCCAGGGCCTTATGCCAGGCCAGTGCTTTACCATTGAGCTATATCCGCAGTCTTGATCAGGGAGGTTTAAAATCAAATACAAGATATATGACCACAGAGAGGATTTTCACTT